GAGAGAATTTTTAATATTTATTTTTTAGTTCTCGGCGGACACAACATCTTTGTTGGTATGTGGTGCTGAAGATCAAACCCGGGCCGCACGCATGCCAGGCGAGCGCGCTACTGCTTGAGCCACATCCCCAGCCCCTCTTGTGGTCTCTTTCTCCGACTCTCTGCTGGACCCTTACAGTACTATGAAAAGMGAAAAAAAATCTGGAATTTGACACCCAGCTGTACAGCTAACTGACTGACTTAGGCAACTCTCATAACCTGCAAAAATACTTTTAAAGCAAAGCTAATAATAAAGGTTTCTCAAGGAATCACTGAATATGAACAAAAATAATAGCTATTAAAGGGCTTTACATGGTGCCACACCAAGGTAASAGGAATAGCATATATCCAGTTTCTTAGTGGATAGACTCAAGGGAACTAACTAGCTGGACTAGCGTTTCCCAAAGTGTGTTACCAAAAAGAAGGCAAAAAAGTATATGATGTTYCTCACATTAATTTGAGTAGAGTCACTTCATGGAACTTCTAGGAGTCCTTTCCTCAGAATACACTTTAAAAAATAGTATGGTAACTTAAGGAAATTAAATAATTGCCATATTTGAAAGTGGTATTTCAAAACACTCTTAACACTGTCAACACTAGTGCTAATAAATATTTTTAACTTTTAATGTGATTTTTTTTTTTCCTCCTCTCTACACAGGGACTTTCGAAGGGAGGCGCCACCTATTCTAGGTGTTACCACACAGTTTCATGCATGGTGGCATATTTTAACTGGACTGGGTTCTTATCTTCACATCCTTTTCAGGTAGGAAATGGAGATTTTTTTTTTTTAACCTAGTATTGAAGGGTTGTTTTGTTTTTTGTTTTTCCTCTTAGAATAGAATGGTGTAAGTATGAAATGTTAAGAGATAGATCAGGAACTTACGTTCCAGTTTTGCCTTTGCCACTAATGACTTTTAAAAAGTCCCTCTCCAGCTAAGAGCCATGGCACACATCTATAATCCCAGTTACCCACCAGGCTAAGGCAGGAGGATGCAAGTTCATGGCCAACTTGAGCAACATAGCAAGACCGGTGTCAAATTTTTAAAAAATAAATTAAAAGGGCTGGTGCTGTATGTAGCTCAGTCAATGCTAATAGAGGACTTGCATAGCATATACCATTCTTCAAGTTCCATCCCCAGCACCACAAAAAAAATAAAAATAAAAAGAAGAATACAAAGAAGCTGGATGCAATGACACAATCCCAGTGACTGGGGAGACTGAGTCAAGAGGATCACAATTTCAAGGCCAGCCTAAGCCATTTATCAAGTCCCTAAGCAACTTAGCAAGACCTTGTGTCAATAGAAGAAAAGTAAATACAAACTATGTTCCTGGCTAGTAACCTGGCTCAGTAAGAAAGAAAGAAGAGAAATTTCTAGGACAATAAATTGAATTGAGGTCTGTGACTTAGATATTACTGTTATATTAATGTTAATTTCCTGATTAGAAGGGCTATTTATAGTAATTTAAGAGAGTATCTTTGTTTTATGTTAGAACACACTGGGATATTTAGGGTGTGGTTGAACATCATGTCAGACAGAGGCTCTATAGAATACATATGCACATATATGTATATTATGTGTACATGTATTTATATGCATAATTTGTGTATGTGTGGTATGTGTGTGTGTGTATATATATATGTGTGTGTGTGTATATATATATATATACATATATATGTAGGTGTGTGGGTATGATGGAACAAAGGTAATTAAATGATTGGTAACAATCTGAGAGAAGGGGTTACAGGAATTTATCATACAAATCTCTCCTGTTCATTTGAAACTATTTTAAATTTTAAAAAGGGAGAAGGGACCCTGTGTTTTGGAGATACTTGGAGCAAATGAGTGAAAAAAAATTTCATTTAGCTAGAAGAAAATGCATTTTAAAACAATAATATGTCTATTTTGTGAGAAAGAAATCTTAGCAGAGCTCAAGATAAAAAAGGACTGGAGATATGCTCACTTGCAAAACACCTCTGGGCTCAATCTCCAGTAACAGAAAGAAAGAAATGGAGGGGAGGGAAGGAAAAAAAGATTAACATTTGTRTATGCTTATAAAGGCATAAACTATCTGTTTATGTAGGGAAACTAATAAGTAACATCAGTTTCCTTTGGGCCATGAAAGCGGGGAATTAGGGGGGTCAAGGGTAGAAAAGACACCTTCTTTTTACTGTGTATTCTTGCATTTTTTTTTAGTTGTTTTGCCAAATGACTCATTACCTATTCAAAATAATAATTTTAAAATAAAATAATGGGATGCATTTTGTAAAGTGAACTATAGTTTTTTGAAACTCCCTTCAGCATTCCTTATATTGCAGTAAAAATGGTGTGATCACACATTACTTGACAGTATAAATTAATGCAAAGCATTTGAGAAGAAATTTGACAATTACATGTGTTCATAAAAATAAAATGTTGGGCCAGGTATAGTGATGCACACCTGTAATCCCAGTGACTCAAGAGGCTGAGGCAGGAGGATTGCATGTTCGAGGCCAGCCTCAGCAATTTTGCAAAAAGCTAGGCGATTTAGTGAGACCCTGTATCTAAATAAAAACTTTTAAAAAGGACTGGGGATGTGGATCAGAGGATAAGTGGCCCAGGATTCAATACCTGATATAAATAAATAGATAAATAAATTTTTAAAATGTTGGGCTGAGGTTATAGCTCAATAATAGAGTGCTTGCCTAGCACATATGAGGTTCAATCCCTAGCATCACAACAATATTTTTTAAAATTTATATTTATTATCCATTATTATATTCCTAGGAATTTACCCTTGAGAAATTATCCAAAAATAATAAAAATTTCTGTATAAATACAAAAGTGCTTCTCATAATGTTGTTAATTTAGAAAAATGACAAAACAAACTACCCAATAGTACAGAATCACAAAATAAATTATAATATGTCCTTTATTTCACCATTTAAAATTAAAAATATGGAAAGATTATAGCAACATAGAAAAATAATCTAATATTTTGCCAGGCATGGTGGCACATGCCTGTAATCCCAGCGGCTCTGGAAGCTGAGGAAGGAGGATCACAAGTTCAAAACCAGCCTCAGCAAAGCAGGGCCCTAAGCAACAAGATTCTGTCTCAAAATAAAATATAACAAGGGCTGGGGATGTAGCTCAGTGATTAAGCACCCCTGGGTTCAATCCCTGGTACCAAAAAAAAAAAAAAAAAAAAAAAGGAGAGGAAGGAAGAAAGAAAGAAAATCTAATATTTATGTGAAACAGATTCATACTAATGAAATTATTAAGCCTGTGGGAAAATTAGATTGCATGTGGAAAAAAAGTGAATGTAGAAAAATAAAACTTGACTAGATTTGGTGGCATAGTCTTTTTTGCTAGGCTAGTGTTCTACCACTGAGCTGTGTCCCCAGCCCTTTGAATCAGGGTCTTACTATTAGCCCAGTCTGGCCTTGAACTTGAGCTGCTTCAGCCTCTCAAGTAAGTGGCAGGGTTTTGAGTTCTTTTTTTTTTTTTTTTTTTTTAATTTGTTATCTGTTAATGTTTAAATTGTTTACTTTCTTTTTTTTTTTTTTTTTGTGCTGGGGGTCATATGCTAAGCATGCTCTCTGACATTAAACTACATTCCCAACCCTTACTATCATTTTTTTAAAAAGAGAAATAATAAAATATTCTTTAGAGATACTTCATTCTAAATAATTAAAAGAAGCTTAGATATTTCAGCTTCAGTTATGTGGAAATTTGGGATATAGAGGTATCTCGTTGACTGAAGCATGTAAATAAAAATACTTCAAAATAAAAAATAAAAAGGGTTGGGAAGCTAGGTAGGTAGCACATGTCTGTAATCCCAATGGCTCCAGAGGCTGAGGCAGTAGGATTACAACAAGTTCAAAACCAGCCTCAGCAATTTAGCAAGGCCCTAATCAATTTAGGGAGAYCCTATCTCAAAATAAAATATAAAAGGGGCTAGGGATATGGTTCAGGGGGTTATGTGCCACCTGGTACCAAAACAAAAAAAGGAAAGGTAGCTCAGTGGTAGAGTCCCTCTGAGTTCAAGCCCAGTCCTGAGGCAGTGAAAAAAAAAAAAAAAGATGGAACAGTTAATTGTGACATAAATCATATCAAGCATTAGTGGGATGCCCACTACTGAACTACAAACATTCTGATGTCATGGTATACAAGTTAATCATTTCTCTGCCTTCCTTAGCACCTTGCCACATGTTAGATATGCCAGTGTTTTTTTCTTTGTATATACAAAGGCAGTATGGTTAACTGTGTCAGTAAACCAGTGTTCATTGATTAAAAATTATTCCTAAGAGCTTTCCCCCATCCCCTTTTCTTCCAGTTTATACACTAGGACACTTTACCTGAGACACAGACCAAAAGTGAAAGTAAGTCCATGTCCTGCGAGGAGGGGGGCGGGCATGTGCATGTATATATGAAGGGGGAGGGTATTGGGAAGATGGTGTTACCGCTGTTGGCCGGTGACTAGTCCTTGCTTCCCCAATGTTGAAGAATAACACCAGAGAGCACGCTGAGGCAAGGTCAGAGTAGAAATTAGAAGTTTATTAAAGGACAGCAGAAAAGACTTCTCCTGGAGGAAGAAGGGGACCCAAGAGGTGGAATCCCTGGAAGTGCAGTTGTTTCCCCTTTTTTTAGTTTTGGTGATGGAATGTAACAAGTAATCTGGGCAGGAAGGACTTCATTATCACTTCTTTTGGATGGGCTATCTCCAAATCTGTTGGAGGCTGTTTCCTGGGCTCCATTAACATTTCTTTGGGGTGGACTCTGGCCTAGGGCCTTTCCTGGACTTCATTAACATTCCATGAGTTGTCCTGCTTTTCCCAGAATCATTCTCAGCATGGCCTCCATTTTAGATTTCACTCGATATGATATTAGACCCGATTTACCTAACTACACCTACTACCTAACTTTAAATCTGGCTTCAATGGGATGATGTAGGAGAAGAAAAGGGGCATGGAAAGGTAGTGGAGCACAGGCTTTGAAATCAAAGGACATAGATAGACTCTTTAAGTCTTCAGTTTATTACTACATGATGTTGGACAAGTGTCTTTTTTAAACCAGTTTCTTTGACAATAAAATGGAGCTATTAATAGCTACACTGCAGAGTTAACAGATTAAATGCCCGTCCACTATTAAGTAAATACTTAATACACTTGAATGAATTAAATGAAAATAATTTCTGAGACTGGTGCAAGTCTAGAAGGAATGTGTCCCGCTTAGGCTATTTATCAGAACAGTCACCAGCAGACTCAGCAAGCACTGGAGTCACAGCCCTGCAGGTTCTTTCTCATTCCTTTTGGGGGATAACGTGTAACAATCTTCTCTTCTCTTGTTTTGTCCTAACTTGTTTCCACAGTTTCTCTTCGGAATCTGGCCAGTGATCATGTTTGAGCCTCTCAGGAAGTACTGATGAGATTATTCCACCATTAAAACAAAGACACTTATCATAAACCTGACAGGATAAATAAGAGATATCTAAAGATCTACATATTCAAATACATCATGACCATCACAACAGAGGAGTGATTTTCTAATTAATGCCTTGGCCACAGGGAGGATGAGGAATGGACCTGTGGGATGTTGGCTCCTGGCTTTATCTCATTTGTCCTCCTCATCTTCATCCTAAGATGTTCATAAAGAAACAGATGTGTATTTATATTTTAGAATGCTGGGGAAATTGGGCTTTCTTAACAGGTTAACAGTTTGTGCTGGTCATAGGAAATTAACCATTTTTCTTTTTGACAGGGTTGCATGTGAATTATACCTTTCTTAATGTTTGATTAAATGATGAAAATAGTCATTAAGTACTGGCAAACCCTGTATCCAGATGGCCAGCTGTGACACACCACTTAGCTGTGTCAGCTTTGGTTTATAGTGTTGTCCTATTAACCTCACAGATGATTTTCCAAGATGGAGGGGAAAAAGAGAGTTTCCCGTGGGATTAAAGATAGCACCTCTTCACTGTCCATCTTGGTGCTAGGCAGATGGAATAGTATAAGCAAATTCAGACTGGCCAGTGGGTTCAATACTTGTCACCTCCCAGGATTTGCCATGGGCTCTGAGATATCTGTGGACCATGACCAATCAGAACAGGTGGGATATCTTTTATCCTTTATGAAGCTCCACCAGGACACCTACAGACTGCTGCTCTTCAGTTACAGGTGGTTGCTTCCTTTGCTTTGATCTTTGCAGATCTTTAAATTGTATCTGTTTTTATGGCTAGGCAAATATGATGGGTGATCTAGCCTACCCATATCCCATCCTCCTAGCTAACTTATTTGAAGTTATCAGGGAATGTCATAAAATGCTGGCTTTTTGCCTTATGTGATATTTTCCAGTTCTCAGAGAGGCCATAGGTGTGCCCAGGGAAGTATGTCAAGATAACTAGAGATTAAATGGTCAGAATTCTATTTATATAAAGTTTATTAAAATATCTGCTCCTTCATTTTTTGAAGGAAATAGATATAAGGGACAAGTCTCTTTTTTAAGTCAGTTTCTTCAACAATAAAATGGAGCTGTTAATAGCTACACTGCAGAGTTTACAGATTAAATGCCCATCTACTATTAATTAAGTAGATGCTTCATACATTTGAATGGATTAAATGAAAATAATTTCATTAAAAAATTTTAACTTGCAGAACATCCAAAGATTACATTGCTAAGAAATAGCAGTAAAATCTCATTGTAAGTCAGCTAGTGTTAAGCTCAAATTCGGGACCCCCAAAGACCACCAGAGACCCAAGATCGATGCAAGCAGCAAAGAGGTGTTTATTGCTAGCTAGCTCGGTCCTCTGTGTGCGCACACACACAGCAACTGGTGACGCTGAGAGGCCCCGAGCCCAGGGTTTGCAGCAGTTTTATACATTCTTTGGAGAGGGCAGGGACTTCACATACATCATAGCCTCTTAGCAAATCATCACACACCGGGGGAAAATCAAATAACAACTCTAAAACATGATTAGCACATTCACTGGTGGGAACAAGTTGGGTAGGGGTGATTGGTCAGTACAAAAGGGGTATTCATTTGAACTGAGTGGTTTAAGCCAAGAGGGGTGTACGTGCTGAACTACATGGTTTCCCAACTTGTTATCAACCACCATAAACTGCTGGGAGGGTCATCTGGCATCCCAGGTATTTCCCTGTCTCATGCTGATTGGTGGCTGCTAGGGGGCTGCTATGGATCCCCACCTAGCCTGAGTCATGGACACCTGGCACAGTAGATCTCTCCTGTTATTTGTAGATAAACAACTTAGCAGGGTGGGAATGTGCTTAGGAGTGCTCTGTGGGTTTTTCCAAGGACTAAGGTCATGTCCCTTCCTTGGACAGGCTTTGCTCTGAGGTAGAGGCTGGTTTTTCACTAGTTATAATTTTGATTTGAATGTATAACAAATTGAATCACTTTTCATAATCAAAAAATGAAGGAGCAGATATTTAATGTCTGTTGATTACATCTTGAGCTATGGCTTCAAAAGAAAAATTGGTTTTTCTTTTCTGCCAAGTTTAAAAAAACACTCTGTCATTTTTCCAATATTCAGTAAGTAACCTTGATACATATTTAAAGCCAAAAATTGTTTTATTCACCTACTGGCCTTAGTTTTAGCCCGAGTACTATTTTCCTTCCCTTAGCATAGCAACATGCCACTGGGCAGATACTTCCATCTACTTTTTTTTTTTCCCATTTACTTTTGAGCAAGAACAATACCTGCCAAAACGTAAATCTGAAGAGTACCTTGGTTGTGTTTAGAAGGACATAAAACTATGTAGTTCCAGTGCAGTCCATAAAACTTTTTTCTTTTGCCACAAGATTCTAACTTCTGGCTACATTCTCCTCCATCTATCTTTGGCTATCACTTTAGAAAGAATTAGTTTCACACCGTTATATTTTTGTACTGCATGAAGAATCCATGTATGGGAACAAAAGCACATCCTTCCTGACTTCTGCTAACATCATAAGACTGATATTCTGCAGTAGTAAAGTCAGATTAAGAGAGAGCCCTGAAACTGGGCCATTTAGAACTATTTGTTGAATGTTCAATTCAGCCACCACCATTGGTCACTTGAATAAATTGCCCAGCATCTCACTATAGAGACATCTGCACTCCTGATGACTTGTATGACTAGTCAGTTCTTCAAAGACCTTTATTACTGTTTTGAGGACAGACAGCATGAATGCTCCACATAGAACACTTTATATGTGTTGAGCAGAAATCAGAGAAAAAAAGCCAGGCCTCTTAATTGGTTTTTTAATTTTCCAAGTCAGTTTGTACCTACACAATGGCTCTCTTATTAGTAACAAGTGACACACTCAGTACTTTGTGCCAAATTGTATGCAAATGTTAATTCACCTTTATTTCAATGACTTCATCTTTTTCCTTCTTGAATTCTGGGTAGACATTATAGGATTGGATGCCTACCCACTCCCTTCCCTTCATTTACTTAGAAAACTTCCTGTTAACTAGAGTGTACAAAAAGCCTGTTTCCTGCTAAGCAAGTAATGATATGTTTGCTTATCACCTGATGTGAAAGGTGCTCATCTGTGAGCTCAGAGTAAATTACATTAATACTTTATTACAATGTTAAAGAAGCACTTTGCTCTTTTGAAGATCTTTCTTGTGTTGTCATTTTCTCTTTAGAAAATTGAAAACAATTTGACTTTGTTTTAGGGGAAAACTAAGTGAAAAGTGTTTGTGTTAATCTGATTGAGCACTTGTTGGCTACCCGCCTTGGCATTTTCATGAAACAGTCCCCAGCACCTGAAGTCATCTCTTTTATTTTTATGATATGCTGATGATTAAGGATCATTTGTTTTTCAGTGATCTTCAAGTGAGAACCAAAATAATGGTATTAAAATAGTTTAAAAGAAGTAGATCAAGTATGATGGTTTAGACATAGTGCAAAATTCAACATACAGCAAAATTCCGGGTTAATCTGAACTTTCTCTACACAGAGGATTTTTCTTATACTAAGGAGAGTGAGGTGTGAGTCTAAGAAAACTAAGAGACCAAAAACTTAAGTGCACATGCATGAAATCTCTAGATGCCTATAGAAGTTGTTCTACTATAATACCAGTACCTTCTGAATTTAGCCATTACCCCTAAAAATGCCTAAAAATTTAAGGTTTTCTTATGTGTTCTATGAGTTCCATATTGCTTTGCTCTTGAAAACAATTATTTGTTGCTAAAATTGGCAATATTAACTTCCAACCCCACATTTACATGATAGCAAATTCTTCTGGCCTGTGGTTTACGATGTGCTGCTAGATAAGCATTTGTGTAAAATTGATGTTTCAAAGAGAACCAGTTACAATTGTAATTTGCAGCTATGTGGCTATTTGCGGATCTACCTCTGTCTTACATTATGTGCCATATATCAATGGTATAATATAATTAGTTTGACCGCTTCATCTTGTTTTTCAATGTCTAAAAATACAGCTTATTCACTGTGCTCTAACCATTTGCAAATAGCAACTAAAATTTGGTTTAATGTACTTAAACTCCTTAATGAAAAAAGCTAGAAAATGAAAAGGGAAACCAGGCAGGTAGCGCATACCTGTAATCTCAGCAGCTCTGGAGATTGAGACAGGAGGATTTCGAGTTCAAACCCAGTCTCAGCAACTTGGCAAGGCCCTAAGCAACGTAATGAAATGCTGTCTCAAAATAAAAATAAAAAGGGTAGGGGATGTGGCTCAGTGGTTAAGCACCCCTGCGTTCAATCCCCAGCACCAAAAAATAAGAAAAGAAAAAGGAAGAAAAAAAAATCATAGCATCACAATCCATCTAACTGGAAAATTTTAATGCTGTTTTTTAGATTGTTGCGCTTCCTTTAAGAACAAAGAAACACCTTTTTCTTTTCTTCTTAACATCTAATTGTAGTTCCACATGGGGGAGTTGCTAGTGTTGCTGAGGTTATGTGAGCATGCCACTGGACTCAACCATTTCTCCAGAACTCTCAGCCCAGTCAGCTGCATATATCCTTGTAAGGCTACTGCTTTACTTGACATTCACATTGAAAATTAACTTAGGTATGAGGTATGAGACCTTGACACTGTTAAAGGACAAGTAGAAAGTATGAGGGATGACAAGTCTCACCAAAGTACAGTCCTTTCCTGATAGAGCAGCAAAGGAGAAGACATCACAACAGACTTTAAGCAGTAGTGTTTAGCTACAGAATTTCTGTCATTGATAAATATTTGATAAACATTCGGAGTAAAAGCTAAGCAGCACTGGCCTCATTTCAGTGCACTGTAAATATCTAATATTGTTTCTTAATGTCTTCATTTATCATTAAATCCTATAAATTACTCTGTTTAGATTGGCAGTTAGTGTAGAAAAGGTCGATCAGCCAGGTGCAGTGGTTCATGCCTGTAATCCAAGCAACTCAGGAAGCTGAGGCAGGAAAATCATAAGTTCAAAGTCAGCCTCAGCAATTTAGTGAAATCCTAAGCAACTTTGAGAGACCCTGTCTCAAAACAAAAGATAAAAAAGGCTAAGCATGTGGCTCAGTAATAAAGCACCCCTGGGTTCAATCCCCAGTACCGAAAAGATTGATCACCATATTTTATACTAGAAAATCCTAAAACCCAAACAAGAAATTTAATTACAGGCCTACAGGTGCCCTAAGCTTCCCCCATTTTTTTTTCCTCTTGGCAGCTGTCAGTATTATAGCATTCTATCACAGGTCATGCTGTGCACTATGCTCATTGTGACCTGTTTAATTGCTTACAATAGCACAATGTCAATACTTGAACTAGATTTAGTCATTGGTAATGTGAATATTCACAGAATTGTCATAAAGCTTTTGAAACTTTTCTGGCAATTGTCATATCTGCAAATCATCACTTTTAAATTAAGTTTACAGAATTAATTTTAAGGTTACAGCAGAGCACATTTATTAGAGAAATCTTTTAAAGCCTATAAATGTAGTTCGTTGAGAGATATCAATATTTATTGTGAGATCACCTGCACCTAAAAGAAAATTACAAAAATGTATTATATTATAAAAGGGTGCAGACCAGGAGTTGGCAAACTGCAGCCAAGGACCAAATCCAGTCTATGATAGTGTGGCCTGTAAGGCAAGAATGGCACTTACATAAATGTTATTTAAACAGAAAGAAAGACAGAAACAGCATTTTCTTGGGCTCTAGCTCTGGGAGTGTGTCTCCCCTGCCCTGGATCATCAGCAAATGAGCAGTGTAGAATATGGAGGCACAGCAGTACCACCTGACTGCATTTCTCTGCAAGAAAATTCTAGTGTGTACTTGTCAGAATGAAAATATTCTGTGCATTTTCAACTCTATTCCCTCTGTGTTGAATGTAATCAAAGTCTTGTGTTTAATATTTACACTATAAAATTATTATTTCACATCAGTTTTACTAGATTGGTAATAGCCTGCCGCAAAGTGTCTAAACCTCAGAGGAAAAATTATTAAAAGCAAAGTTCATGATTTTATTTGCTTTATAAAGGGAATCCTAAACCAGGTGTGGTGGCACATACCTGTAATCCCAGCAACTCGGGAGGCTGAGGCAGGAGTATCACAAGTTTAAGGCTAGCCTCAGCAACTTAATGAGACTCTGCTTCAAAATAAAAATTAAAAATGGCTGGAGATGTGGCTCAGGGGTAGAGTGCCCTTGGGTTTAATCCCCAGTATCACAAAAAAGATCGAAATAAAAAATAAAAAAATAATTTTATACTATAAAATTCCAAACATGCTAGTTGCATTCAGCTTTTGAGTTGACTTCCAGAAAGTTGAGATCTATTGA